CTAGCTTTGGTGGCAACGACTCGCAGCCACTCACAACAAGAGTTACTGTTGGGGTGGAGAGAAGCCGAGCCAGCAGCAAGTCAGAAAAGAAAAGGCATTGTTTGTTTTTAATAGGAGTATGTAAAAATGGCACACGCTGAAACAATGCACATAAAGGCTAACTACTGTCATTCAACAGTGCACAGGCGTAACAATCGCCAATCGGCACACTCATTCCTCTTCAGATAAAATGTTTTAATAAGATTCGTACAAACATGCTATAGATGGTGCATATGAAATCGTGGGCATGTTTACTTATCCACAATATAAAATACACAACACACATGCGCTGCACATTGCGTACAATCAGCATACTTCTGTATAAATCACTCCAATGTCACGTCCCTACGCCGGGCTTTTTATACTCCCTTTGGACAAAACTGCCGTAGGCCAACACTTGCTGTAGACTACGGACAGCGCTGACTTGTGCATCCTGTTAAAGCACACGCGTTCACACCCACTAGACCCCACTGATGGCACCGCCCGATATCTCACCCTCCCGGGCATATAAGTTCGGACCCCCACCCCTGGCTTCAATGAGTCTTCGGCGCAATGGGCGGCGATGCGGTTTTTTGCGTTATTCGAGGAGCGCCTCTTCCTACGCCGCGCGCTCTCGTGCCACGGGCCGGGCTCTCCGCGGCAGAAGCAGCACGTGGCACGAACCCCTCTCGCGCACCTGCCACGGCTACACACGCTGTTTCCTCGCCCACCCCAGTGCGGGCCGCAAAACCATGAGTTTCAAGCGACACACACACACAAAAGAGACGCGCAAAAAAGCACTCAGCCTATGTGCATTATGCAGGGACCGCTGATGGTTTTTGGTATGATACATAACGGCTGAGTGCTTTTTTACGCGTTTTTGTGTTGTTGTTTAAAAATATATACTAGCGTTCACGACTGCGACTGAGGAACTTCTACCAAGGGTCTATTAAAGTGTCTTACGATAATCGTTACAATCTCAAAACGCCTGCTCTATTTTTAGTTAAAGGAAAATATGAGGAGATATGCATTTTGTATCTTCCTATATAAATACAAATACGTTTTAGTTCATCACCATATTAGTATATTTCCAGACCAAAATTAACAATCAGTATTTGTTTAAAGCAAACTCTGGAACGGTTTTAACTTTCTGGGTCTCATCAGCAGTGTCAGGATTGTTAACCAAATGCTGCTGGATTAGCAGATGATATTGGCAAGCTCATCTCTATTTTAAAACACGGTTCCTTGTTCAATGCCAAAGAAATTCCGGACATACGTATATGTTTAATTGCGTGCTTTAGATTAGATACATTGCGCATAATTGCATTTTATATTAAAGCTGGCATTAATGTTCGGTGTACTGCATACGAGGCCCACTCTTTTGTTTAAAGCCACCATACACACACACATTCTCCAGTTTTCTGAACAATGCGCTAAATATGCAGCGCAGGTAGCCGATAAGAGAAATTCGTGAATGTAATCTGATGCTCAAGTGTTGTATGTGTGCATATGAATACAGCAATGCAATGCACGCCAGAGGGACGCTCACACATGAAACCCGCTCCTCCTGACTTATTGAGGCCATGCAATGTCCACCTCTGGTGGTGTAGGTAATGTCTGTAACCACACGCAGCACGCGTCCGTGCGTACGGATGTTTTTGTTGATCTAATTGGTGAGATATGCACTGAACATGGAAATTTGACCAACGAGCTCAAAATCTGTTCAATATTACGATCACAGCACCGTGCCCATATGAGATTAGATTAGCGTGTCATAATGTGCGATTCATGTTTTGTTTGTTTCAATGAACGTGGAGGCAATCATGAGCACAACGCACAAAGAGACAATCGCCTTACAGACAGCCGCCCCTTTCGCACTAGCCTCGCTGCAAAAACGCACGTCCACAAATAAAGCGAGGACAACAATTGCAATAGAACACATTTAATGTGACTAAAAGTAAACCGGTTGAAGTTGTAGCTTGCCAAAGACTCAGCTGGGTACCTACACGGCCGTCTTCCTCAGCCAGCGATCCTTTCTATCGACGCTGTCGGTGTGTCTTTCGGGAGGAGAGAGGGACGCGCCTGATAATAAACTTTAGTTGACCGTCGTCGCTTCATTGCCAAGCATTGCGAGCCTCCCTCTGCTGGCGATATTGCTGGACAGCGGGGGGTTGTGAGTGTTGGGAGGCGTGGCATATTTACAGCAACAGCAGCAGTTGTATTATTACGTCTACTGCTGTGGTATTACATTTCATCGCATGGCGAAACGTATTTACCGTAGTGGACAAAAACAATTACAAAGTACACCTATTTAAAATGTGTCGCCAGAAAACCGCGTTTCGCCTGTACGGATAATACTGACGAGTAACCTCGCGAAGGTAAAAACAGAAGTGTAACGGCACTCTGTGAAAGCTTGCTGCGAAATGTCACGTTTACGTGTTCACAATAGTGCGCCATGAAGGCTCCCTTCCGTTTGTCGCTTCTGCCAGGGGCTAAATCCCTCGCAAGTACAAATTTGTGCAGCTTGCATCACGCGTCCGCGCGAGACGTTACAGATCAACTTTGCAATCATCGATCGGGACAGGTTGGGCACAAGAGGCTCTTGGCGAGAGTTTGTGTACGCCACGCGAAATTCTGAAGACAAACATGTCACAGGCGGGGTGGTGCAATGCACACAACTCCGCGTTCGGGGGGGGGGGTCGCCCTGGCAGAAATAGAGTGCACGTAGACGCGTTACAAATATACACGCAGCCGGTTTGTTCGTTAACAAGTTGCTATAATTAACGTCATTTAAAATAATCACTTGCGGATCACTTTGTAAAAAAAAAAAACCCGAAGGGTGCTTTTAGCACGGCGGACCCACTTGTGAGAAAAGAAATCACGGGACTTTTTTCGTGTGTTTTAAACATCCTAGCATTCATGTCCACTTTAATTCCATTCATTGTACAGTGCAGCAACATCACTTACTCGTCGTTGCCGCCGTTGATGATGTTTGGTTAATTCCAATCAGAGCATCACATCGGATTGTTTACACTGGGCAGCAACAAGCATTAAGCGGCGGTCATCACTTTTGCCCAAAAAAGGGGGCTTTTATTCCTCCTTGCGTGGCACGACAACAACCACTGTTATTTTCGTGTTATCTGATGCCTCGCTCACGCATACACGCACACACAAACACGCAGCGGCAGACACAAACAGTATCAGACACATGCACACGACGCACATTGCACACACACACACACACCGTGCATCTTGCACTGCGCCACGAGGCGTGATTGCAAAAGTGGTGTCCGCTTGGTGTGTCTGCCTGCGTGTGTGTGTGTGAGAGGTGGGAGCGGTGGCGCAGTGGTTCGCGCACTGTGTTGCGACATCAGGCTGCCAGAGTTGGATTCCCGCTCACGGCTGAAATCAGCGGTGATTATCGGAACCGGTCCTGGGCATCCCCTAGGTTCACTCAGCCTCAAATGAGTACCTGCTGCGCCGTGTAAACATCGCCACTCGGGAGACAAAGGCGGCCGGGCGTGGTGCTGACCCACGCATTCCCTCGTGCGCCGTGCCCGCCTTCATAAGGTGCTACTCGCTAGCAGCACTTGCTCCCAACAGCCTGCCAAGGCTCTGCGGGGGATCTTTGTCTTTGTGTGCGGTGCCCACAGAAGCTTCGGGTCCCCGTCCCTCCCGGGGTCTCGGAGACCCCTTTCTCTCCCCCCTGTGTAACCCGAGCCCGAGCCGTCTCCATCACACATCTGGTTCGCTTCAATTGGCGCTGACAGCGCCCCAACACTGCCGGGACGGCAACTACAAAATAAATAAACAGCGTCCTGCCCGGAGCGATCGTGGGGATATATTTTGTGTTCTTGTTTTTTTGAGTGCTTTGCTTCGGCCCAAAATTTAAATTGGTTTGTCGCGAGGAGCTGCTGCGGGTGGCTTTGGGGTGGGGGGGGGAGCGACTGGTTGAAGAGACGCGGGGCATTCAGAGATGGAGACAGCGCAGAGGTATCCGGTTACCCGTGGGCTGGATCGGCAGAATGTACCCCGCTCCTCCCCTCCCGAGAATTAGGGGACCGCTATTCGCAAGTGGATAGCGGCTCCGAGCCTGCGAGCCGGCTCGCGTGGTCCCTTCACGCGCATGTCACACGCGGAACGTACGGAAACAAACGCACTTTTGGCACGCACACGCCATGGCTTTCGTACGTACACGCGTGCCCCTATATTGTAGCACGCGTTATAAGATAACGTGGCTATGTCAAAGATTCGTCTCAATTATTTATTATTAGGCTACGCATATATGTGCGCACAACTACTCGCCACAAACTTACATCGCCGATTTGAAATCCCGGTTCAAGAACGTGCGTATAGCCGCACACTGAAATACGAAATGAAATTACAAAGGGAATTAATGCCACGGTACTTTGCACGTACGCGCACCATCGCTTCGACACACAAACAGCGGCAACACCGCACAGCGTCACCCGCTTCTCGCACAACATCATCTCTAACTCGGAGGGTTTTTTTTTCTTTTCCCCCCGTGACGCTGGGGCTTTAAACGTATGGAAGAGCAATTGGGTACATAACGGGCACTCACCGCTCCGCTATCCGCCGTTGGGAGCCAACCCACCCGCAGCGGAACACCAACTTAACACTTTACTAACCACAGCGACGCAACTCGAATCAAAACTTTTTTGAGTTTCTTACCCGCGTTCGTTTGTTCCTGCCCGTGGCACTTTTTGCGTGTTTTCAACACGCTGCCACCTCGTTCGTAGCGAAGCGTGGGGTCTCCCCCCACTCTCCCCCCACCATCACCACCCACCCACCCACCACATCTCACCTCCCGTCCCGTTAGCGCGCGGTTCAGGCCGTGCGTGGAACGCTTCGGCGGCGGCGCTTCGCAGGTAACGGCGCAAGAGCAACAACAAAAAAGCGAGCGCTGTACGTCGGAGAAAAGCAAAAAAAAAGTAATAAGCACGTGCTCGATGGAAACTCACCGTTTTTTCTCTTCGGGTTGGCTTGCTTTCGTCGCTTACACCTCGGTCCCTCCGCCATGATCGGCTGTTGCTTCATTGATAAAACTCGGAGCATTTCTCAGCTCTCGGAAGCTGCTGCGCTCGGTGTTCCCAGCACACAGCTACCTCCAACCACCACCACCAACCACCTCAACCACTAACCCTCCCACCCACTCGCCCACCTAACCCACCCCTCTCGCCCACCGTTGCTGCCGCCGCCCTGCAGATCACTCGCGTTGACCGCGCCCCGCTCCGCTTGCCAAACTCATTTAAATACAGCAGAGCCTCGGACGGGGATGCGTCCGTGCTGTTGCCCTGCCTGTTTTGTACTCTCCCCCGCCCGCCTGCCCGCCCCACTATAGCTCAGAGTTACTAACACCAACGAGTATCCTTACGTTACGCTCGCTCGCTAGTTCGCTCGTGATGAAGCCGGCTCGCACGGAGGCCAGCCGCGCACTATCAACACGCACGCAAAGCAACCCCGAATAATTAATGAACAAAATAACAACGGTACAAAAAAGAGGGCAGGCACGCTTTCGGAGCGAGTTAATTAAGCTGAGCGGTAGCTCACGATGCGTTCATGTTTAGCGTCATCTCGAAACAGACCCGCGCAGCCACGCACGCACGCACGCGTGGGTGCGCGCACAAGGGGGGTGAAGAGAGAGGGGATGCGTAGAGCGGATACACTAGCGGAAAGTTTTCTTTTTGTGTGTGTTTTAAGCCCTCTGCCTCGCACGCACGCACACACACACACTCGCTCTTCTTCTCTGGCTGTCTCTCGCTCCCCCCCGCCCCCCGTCGCCTTTCTCTCTAAAGCGAACTGTGGTAACGGCTACCTCCGCCCGGCACCGTTACTCGTGCGCAGCTCACAAGGGCGGTCGCCTCCCCGTGCGCGAGCGAACTGCGCGTCTGTGATGCGGGGCAGCAGCGAGCGACGTTTACGCACGGAGCGTGGTGGATACGCGTCTCGCACCGTGACTCCACCACCAGTCGATACGAGCGCGCACTCCTCCTCGCTCTTGCTGCTGCTGCTGCTGCTCCTCCTCCTGACCCCTCTCCTCCTACTCCTTCGTCTGCTCCCGCTGTTCGCTGTACGTGCCATGGGACTTCTGGAGATGACAACTGCTTCGCGAAGCCAAGAGGGGAAGCCGCGCCAAAGGAATCCGTGGAATAGTCGCTGTAATATTCCGTGTCGGGCATTAATTGTGCATTTATTTGGTGCTAATAAGCGAGCCACGGTAGGGCATTGCGCACTGATTTTTTTTCTGCACGTGTATCACGGATACATTAATAAGTGCAATTGCAAACAGAATTAAACTATGTGAGCTGTACAAATACGTTTAAAGTGGCTATTTGGATTGTTAACATTAAAAGTTTAATTCTGAGTGCACAACCATTGTTAAGTGATGGTTGGTCTTTTCGTTTATAATCTTCCTACTTGGAAATCACGCACTAGCAAATTGTTTCTGTCTGTTATTTCAAGCACGTTTTTGCTTATTTTCCGTGTGAGATTGTTGCAAGCTCGTATAGCCTAAGGCATTAATAACAGCATACAGACGCGAGTGTATTTTAGTCGATGTGCTTTTAAATGGGTCAATCCCTTGCGAGTTATCGTACATGGTGCGTTGCACAGATATATCGCATTTGAGGGGTGTCAACACGACATTGGCAGCGTGTCTTCGCTTGTGCTTTTATTGACGAAAACTTATTTTAGTCTCATTTTGAAAGTGCCGTCGCAATGTACTCCACCGAATGCAGGATTCTAACATGTTTTAGCCCAAGGTCTGAGTGCATATTTTTGCCTTTTTTTAAACATACACGTCCTTTCCTTCTATCAACATCGTTTTAAATGTATCATTCTGTATATATGCATCTCAAACCGTGGACACATATGGTGTATTAAAAAAAAACTTTTTAAAATTTCTATATACATGGCAAGTAAAAAAAAACATCACCAAAAGTTACAACTCGATCTGGAGTGAAGCGGTAGCGCAGCCGTTAGAACACTGTTCCGTGCACCCTTCGACCCCAGTTCGATTCCCAGACACTGATCAGCTCGAATTACGGCTTGGGAAGCCCTTCATCCAACAGTGGACAAACAAATAACTGCGCATTATGACTGTATTGTCGGGATTAGAAGACACACTCCCCCCCCCTTAATTTAAAGTAAAATGTGTGAGTCCATCTTATAATCCGGTAGATGTGTTTATGCGTCGGTCAGATTCGAACAGCTCTAGTTACACACACACACACATTTGATGGATGCGTCTTTCCGGGACGGCTTATGCTCCGGTCCAGACGATGCGATGTGTATTTAGCGTAACTCAATGTGACGCAGAACCCACAAACCGGGGGTATGAGAATATTACTCCGTGGAAACAGTCCCAGAGTTTATTCCAACGCTACTCTTTCGAGTCGCGTCATTTCACGGGGGGGTGGGGGGGGTGGGACTCGTTTTACCCTTCAGCGTGAAGCGCAGAATAAGCCACTCGTGGCATTTTAAAAACATTACGAGCGCGTTAAGTCACCCAACTGCCCCTCAATCCTCCACTCGCCCTCTCCAAAGACATTCAACAATCGCTATGTTCGCACCAACGCACGTGACTGCGAGAACGGCCGTCCATAGTTTGAGCTTGCGGGAGGATTGTGTGTATGAATTATCCTAGCAGGAGGTGTCAACTGTGGATATAAACCTCGCCTCGCTGTCACGATGTTGCAGTGTGGTAATCTCACGCGTCGTATTTTACATGTTTCCAAAATCGTGCAAAAGAGTGAACGAGCCGTCGGATAATGCAATAGAAGAAACTCTTCAAAAACCTCTGCAGTAGCCATAGACCCATTGCGCACAGCTCAACCGAGATTAAAGCATGCGCGTTCATTGATTATAAAGTCGCAAATGTTAAACTCGAATTGCAACGGGCATATTTCTACGTTTTGCATTGCACGCTGTGTAAGAAAAAAAACGTATATAGAGGTGCGCAAATTCGTCCAGTCCGAATACCATCATAAAACGTTGCCCTATCGTGCATTGCAGTAACATTCCCAGAATCTGTTCTTTAATTCGATTCTGGCCGAAACAGATGTTGAAGGGAGCGTGCTTGATATTGCATTGTTACTGCTGCTCCTGGAAAATGAGAAGCATTCACTGCAGAGTGCATCGCCAATTGTTTCATTCGTTCGAGTATTGGTGCATTGTTTTTTTGTTAAATGTGCAATACGTACATTATATGGTATGTACCTGAGAGCTGGAGAAACGCACACTACTCGAGCAATTGTTCGATTAAATTTAGTTTGAGCCAGGACGGAGCCCATTGAGAGAGTTGGACAAATAAATGGAGCACAGTAAAGGAGAGGATCGTTGTGAATAGGTTCCACTTAAATATAATAATTGACAGTCATTTGTCAATCCAATGCTGAATGAAGGGCTCCATAGGCCATGCCAGTCATGAGTCTTACTCGACCAAGTTGGTCAGTGTGGATTGGTGAAAGGGGTAGTTGACCCAAGACCGGTTCGGATATAACTCACCACTGATGTTTGCCGTCCTGGGAAATCTAACTCGCGACGTCCATCGCTCACTGTGCTAACCACTGCACCACCGTTCTACTTAATAATTGTAAATAAACACTGTACATAAAAAAGACTACAGTATACTGTAATATTCCCAAATCTAACTTTCCACACATATTTATTAATGTGACGATATGTTCGCACGGCTATTTTTCAGCCGCAGAATTCATATCCCATGCCCTTGCAGCTAAGAATGCTTGAGCGTTCATTGTTTGCATTTCTCGTAAATCTGAAATATTTACTGTCAAAAATTTGGCAGCCCACACAGCAGTTCATCAGATGGGGCATCTCGTGGCCATTGGGGCTCGCGACGGTGAGGCGAGTAACTCACGTTAAAGGGGGCCGTCAAACCCAGCCCCGTGTTGTGCCATTGGATACGCGCGGGGCGTGTTACACGAGCGGTAACCAAACTCCAGGACGTTGCGGCCCCCTCCACGATGCGCGTTTCCATTTCTCGCCGTGCGCTCAGCTCGCACGTCAATTGGATAATGTGCCTCGCGCGTATCTGTTGAGTATTGATTGGTGTACAAAATGGAAAGCTTTGAACAGGAGTTGGGCGGGAGGACGAGGAGAGGTTGGGAGTAATGGGGGCGGGAGGTGGGAGGTGGGAGGTGAGAGCAAGACATTGAGGTTGGAGACAGCTGTAACGACAAAGAGAGAGAGAGACAAAATCTCCCGTTTAGCCTTACAGACTGTAGGAGCAAATGCTGTTAGCAAGTACGCATTTAGGCTGGCATGGCACGCGAGGGGGTGGTGTGGCCAGTGTCATTCCTGGACACCTTTTATCACTCGTGTCGATGTTCACACACTGACAACATGTACTTATTTTAGTTTCGAGTTGATCTAGGGAAGGTCCAGACAGCATATGGTACTGTGGAGAATTCCCAGACTTTAAGCATGGATGTACTAACCGCTACGCCACTGCTTTGCACCCACTACGAACAACAACGAGGACAAAAACTACACCATCAGCAGCATGTTCAGCACAAGCACCAGGAGTACAGCAGAATCACATCACCATCACTGCCATGCACATCACCACTGAACCATCATGTTGCTTAAGTTACATTCGGTCCCACTATTGTATTGACAACTCGGTCTTATCACAGCGGATTAGCCGGTGAAGTGACATGCAGTGCTCTGACACTTGACAAGTATGACACACTCGCGGTGCGGTGTGTCCGCTGTGGATGGAGTCATAAGACACAGTGTCGTCAGTCACACACCGGCTGGAATGTGCCAACTGAATACTGTATGTGACACTTGAAAAGGTCGACTAATGAGAGTCTGTTACATAAGCTCGTGGAGGTTAGAGTGAGCTTGTTGTAGGAGTGTGTGGGTGATGGGAGTCAAATGAAAGCGTTTCTACGGCGGTAATAACCTACCATTAATACATAATTCAGTTACCGCCAGTTAATGATCACTCCAGGTGAGAAAAAAAAGTATGTATCATTCGTTTTCCTACTTTTTTTTACGTGAACCTCTTCTCAAGTAATTTCTCAGTTTTCAGAAAAACACGGGGATATGTTTTTTATCCGCGGGCTGCCGAGCGCCGAATGCTACCAGCGCTTCCAGCGCTCCCTTTCCGCTGTATGAAAACATTGTGGAAATTATTGTGGCCTATTCATAATTCATTGAATATCACACATCTGTGTGTGATTAGGCAACTGCTGCAGTGTCATGCAAGAAGCCAAATATTGGTTGTGTTATGCCACTCTAGCCACTCCTGTGGATTCCATTTGTAATGTCTCTACCGCAGCCTGAAATGTATCAACATTTTTTTAAAATATCTGTCAGTCCTTAGAACAGGTGAAGCTGTAAAGCATTTTTCAAACGTGTTGCTCTCTCCCATGAACTCAGCTAACAAGCCATTCTTTATAGTGCTGCTCACCACGCCGACCCACGCGTTTGTTCAACTACCATACCTCCCATCCATCGTGTAATGTGTCCGCACATACACACATACACATGGAAAAATGTGTTTGGCTGACAGAGAGGCATGCATCTCGGACACTGGCATTACTGTGGACTTTCGAATGACCAACGTAACCAGGAAGGAAAGAAAGGGGGCATACAAGACACTTTGCTTTGCTGTGGAGATTCGTGATGTAGAATATGTTGCTTCAGTGAAAAGGCAAAGCAAGCCACTCACTCTAGAGGTCGTCAGACTTTGTTGACATGCACCTTTCCCCGGTATTGGGAATTCAAGTGGTTTGCAACGATGAATATATATGGCATGTCGTGTAAAATGTTGAAATGCCCCCGCTACATAAAGAGAGCTCATAAGGAGTGCAAGCACTCACAAGTGCTCCATTGACACATTTGATCATGAAGCCATCGTTCAA